AGTGAGGTTTTGAGATGGATCTGTAGAGCCTTGCATTAACAGGTGTTTGAGCTGCTGGTAAACATCTTCTGAGGTGTTTAACTGAAGGAAAATCTGCACTGTGCCAAGGATGTTTGCACTTTGTTGATCGAGAAGTCCTGAAGATCGAATTTCACGAAGAATATCTGCAACTACATTTGCATTCATGAGATTGAGTATGAGTTTTTGGAACACATCTGGATTCGAGATGTTTGCCCATTCGTCTGGAGAAAGTTTGCGTAGCATGACATGATCATGGATATTAAAGAGTGTCAAAAGAATGTTGAAAGTGAGGTTTTGAGATGGATCTATAGGGCCTTGCTGTAACAGATGTTTGAGCTGCAGGTAAATATCTTCTGAGGTGTTTAACTGAAGGAAAGTCTCCACTGTGCCAAGGATGTTTGCACTTTGTTCATCAATGAGTCCTGAAGATCGAATTTCACGAAGGATATCAGCAACTACATTTGCACTCATGAGGTGGACTATGAGTTTTTGGAAAATATCTGGATTCGAGAGGTTTGCCCATTCTTCTGGCGAAAGTTGGGCTAGAATGACATGATCATGAATATTAAGGAGTGTCAGAAAAATGTTGAAAGTGAGGTTTTGAGATGGATCTGTAGGGCCTTGCTCTAACAGATGTTTGAGCTGCTGGTAAATATCGTCTGAGGTGTTTAACTGAAGAAAAGTCTGCACTGTGTCAAGGACGTTTGCACTTTGTTGATCAAGAAGTCCTGAAGATCGAATTTCACGAAGGATATCAGCAACGACATTTGCACTCATGAGATTTACTATGAGTTTTTGGAAAATATCTGGATTCGAGATGTTTGCCCATTCTTCTGGCGAAAGTTTGGGTAGAATGACATGATCATGCATATTAAAGAGTGTCAGAAAAATGTTGAAAGTGAGGTTTTGAGATGGATCTGTAGAGGCTTGTTGTAACAGATGTTTGAGCTCCTGATAAACATCTTCTGAGGTGTTTAACCTGAGGAAAGTCTGCACGGTGTCAAGGATGTTTGCACTTTGTTGATCGAGAAGTCCTGAAGATCGAATTTCACGAAGGATATCAGTAACGACATTTGCATTCATGAGATTGACTATGAGATTTTGGAAAACATCTGGATTCGAGAGGTTTGCCCATTCTTCTGGAGAAAGTTTTGATAGAATGACATGATCATAGATATTAAAGAGTGTCAGAAAAATGTTGAAAGTGAGGTTTTGAGATGGATCTGTAGAGCCTTGCATTAACAGGTGTTTGAGCTGCTGGTAAACATCTTCTGAGGTGTTTAACTGAAGGAAAATCTGCACTGTGCCAAGGATGTTTGCACTTTGTTGATCGAGAAGTCCTGAAGATCGAATTTCACGAAGAATATCTGCAACTACATTTGCATTCATGAGATTGAGTATGAGTTTTTGGAACACATCTGGATTCGAGATGTTTGCCCATTCGTCTGGAGAAAGTTTGCGTAGTATGACATGATCATGGATATTAAAGAGTGTCAAAAGAATGTTGAAAGTGAGGTTTTGAGATGGATCTATAGGGCCTTGCTGTAACAGATGTTTGAGCTGCAGGTAAATATCTTCTGAGGTGTTTAACTGAAGGAAAGTCTCCACTGTGCCAAGGATGTTTGCACTTTGTTCATCAATGAGTCCTGAAGATCGAATTTCACGAAGGATATCAGCAACTACATTTGCACTCATGAGGTGGACTATGAGTTTTTGGAAAATATCTGGATTCGAGAGGTTTGCCCATTCTTCTGGCGAAAGTTGGGTTAGAATGACATGATCATGAATATTAAGGAGTGTCAGAAAAATGTTGAAAGTAAGGTTTTGAGATGGATCTGTAGGGCCTTGCTCTAACAGATGTTTGAGCTGCTGGTAAATATCGTCTGAGGTGTTTAACTGAAGAAAAGTCTGCACTGTGTCAAGGACGTTTGCACTTTGTTGATCAAGAAGTCCTGAAGATCGAATTTCACGAAGGATATCAGCAACGACATTTGCACTCATGAGATTTACTAGGAGTTTTTGGAAAATATCTGGATTCGAGATGTTTGCCCATTCTTCTGGCGAAAGTTTGGGTAGAATGACATGATCATGCATATTAAAGAGTGTCAGAAAAATGTTGAAAGTGAGGTTTTCAGATGGATCTGTAGGGCCTTGTTTTAACAGGTGTTTGAGCTGCAGGTAAATATCGTCTGAGGTGTTTAACTGAAGGAAAATCTGCACTGTGCCAAGGATGTTTGCACTTTGTTGATCGAGAAGTCCTGAAGATCGAATTTCACGAAGAATATCTGCAACTACATTTGCATTCATGACATTGAGTATGAGTTTTTGGAAAACATCTGGATTCGAGAGGTCTGCCCATTCTTCTGGAGAAAGTTTGGGTAGAATTACATGATCATGCATATTAAAGAGTGTCAGAAAAATGTTGAAAGTGAGGCTTTGAGATGGATCTGTAGGGCCTTGCTGCAACAGATGTTTGAGCTGCAGGTAAATATCGTCTGAGGTGTTTAACTGAAGAAAAGTCTGCACTGTGTCAAGGACGTTTGCACTTTGTTGATCAAGAAGTCCTGAAGATCGAATTTCACGAAGGATATCAGCAACTACATTTGCACTCATGAGATTTACTATGAGTTTTTGGAAAAATATCTGGATTCGAAGAGGTTTGCCCATTCTTCTGGTGAAAGTTTGCGTAGAATTACATGATCATGAATATTAAAGAGTGTCAGAAAAATGTTGAAAGTGAGGCTTTGAGATGGATCTGTAGAGCCTTGTTGTAACAGGTGTTTGAGCTGCTGGTAAAGATCTTCTGAGGTGTTTAACTGAAGGAAAATCTGCACTGTGCCAAGGATGTTTGCACTTTGTTGATCAATAAATCCTGAAGATCGAATTTCACGAAGGATATCAGTAACGACATTTGCACTCATGAGATTGAGTATGAGTTTTTGGAAAATATCTGGATTCGAGAGGTTTGCCCATTCTTCTGGAGAAAGTTTGGGTAGAATGACATGCTCGTGGATTTTAAAAAAGGTTAGAAAAATGTTGAACGTGAGGTTTTGAGATGGATCTGTAGAGCCTTGCTGTAACAGGTGTTTGAGCTGCAGGTAAATATCTTCTGAGGTGTTTAACCTGAGGAAATTCTGCACTGTGTCAAGGATGTTTGTACTTTGTTGATCAATAAGTCCTGACGATAGAATTTCACCAAGCATTTGAGCAACTACATTTGCATTTATGAGATTGACTATCAGCTTTTGGAAAATATCTGGATTCGAGAGGTTTGCCCATTCTTCTGGCGAAAGTTTGGGTAGAATGACATGATTGTGGATATTAAAAAGGGTCAGAAGAATGTTGAATGTGAGGTTTTGAGATGGATCTGTTGAGCCTTGTCGTAACAGGTGTTTGAGCTGCAGGTAAATATCTTCTGAGGTGTTAAATTTGAGGGAAGTTACTATCATATTGACTATCTTTGCACTTCGCTCATCAAGAAACCCAGATATCTCTATCTCATTAAGAATACCAGCCAAAGGGTCTGCTTTCAATAGGTTTAAAAATATATTCCTAAAAATATCTTTAATTGAAATATTCCCTAATTCGCCTACATAAATTATTGGCGAAACGACATGATCAAATACGTTGAGCATCAGTCGTGCAATATTCGTAGTCAAGTTGTATGACTCAAGAAATTCCCCTCGATGCAAATGATTCAGCTGCCAATAAAGACGTTCCGTGGTATTTTTATTTAACAGGTTCCGTATGATATTGATAATATACGAACTCTGTTCATCCATAATTCCTGAAATATTATTCTTCGTGAGAAAATCATCAAGGGTCTCCACTTTAAGGAGAGACTGCACTGCTTGGAAGATAACGGTGGTGTCCGAATCCAATAGGCCTGAGTTCTGGAGCTCGGTCATGAAACTAGAAAAGGCCTTTGACATGATTTCATGTTTTTGCAGCCATGTATGGTTATTTTCTATTCTCATGAGGTTTTTCCAATCATCATTTGTTGTCATGTTAGCAATTATCTGCACAAGTATTTTCATTGTATTTAGATGCCTTATATTGTCAGCCATTGCTTTACTGTTATTTCTGAGACCCTCAATTAATGGTATCATCCCATCAACAATTTCTGTAGCATTGAAATAAGTTTCTTCAAAATTATGCTTTTCAATAACTTTGAAGAAGTGAAGCACAACGGTTCCGATGTCAAGTGGAAACGTTGTGAGGAACATGTCCATCACCTCCTTCACAATGACATCTGAGGAATTTGAACTTCCCATATTCATAGCAAATTCTTTTATGTCCAGGCATAGACTAATAACGTTGTGCAACATTTCTGCTTCAATGCTATTGTTAAAAATTTGCATTGTGTCTAGCATGTTGAATATATGTTTCAAACTGTCTAACATTAGCCCGTTTTGAAATGTCATATTACCAGAATTAAAGATTTGCCCAATTGCTTCCTCAAACACAGTAATTGACTGTAGTAGACGTTCAACTTCTACACTTGAGTGTTCTGGTGTTAAATGTTGAAGTTGTCTGATTATCGCTTCCAGAGATCTGAATGTGGAGGCAATGAACAACAATGGATTTCCAAATGATATGTTCATTTCTTTAAATGATCCAATTGTTTTCGCCACCTCTTCTAAAAACATGTGATGATTCTCGACAGTAAAGTTCTTTATGGCACTCGCAATATGAGGATGGACAATTTCTAATGCATGGACAAAAGAGTTTATATTCCTTATAAAGTTCAGTTTTTTCAATGGTTGAGATGCATTCGAACTTACTAGTAATTGTCCCAAGTCTGCGAATAACTGTTTTGCTGAAAAGTTACCATCATCTCTGACACTGTTGTAAATGAAAACAATTAATTCTTGAATTTCTGTTGTAAAATTATTCATATTCGAGTGATTTGAATACCAGTTCAAATCTGTTGGAAAAGGATAGGCTGTGGTGTTTCTCCAGTTTTCTTGCATTGTCAGCATGTTAATGAAATAGGTGAAAATTGAGAGGTTTGGCTTCGGATGAATGCTGAGATTTTCCATTAAAGTATTCAGTGCCTCAAGGGTACTGTTAGCTATCAACAGCAGATCGGTTTCATGAATATCAATGGATCCAAGTTGCATCAAGAAATCGAGGACCTTTTGAAAGTCTGCCATTGCATTTTCTAAGAATTTGTCATTTACAGGCACATTTGCTGTTTAATAAAGTAACAATATCCGTCATTATCGCCACCAGTGTTTCAGATTTAAAGGTGTGCGAGCACTGTAGATCATCGATGGAGTTCAGTGTCAGGATAAGACTTACAGCCAGTGGGTTACTATGATCATCGCAGATGTCAAGCTGAGTCTCGGCAATGTGGTCTAGAAGCCTCATGGTCTTTGCATTGAGATCAACCAGAAGTGAGCTTGAAAAATCAAAAACTTGAGCCATTTTCAGAAGCACCACAGTCCATTCTTGCATTTGTCTTAAATTACACGAGAAGATGTATGCCAGTTCTTGGAACTTATCTTCTGGGAGAACTATCTGATTAGGAAAGGAAATGAACTCTGAAAAGTCTGTCACAATTTCTGCTGCAAGGGTAGCAGCACAGTACACAACGTTGCGCGATGGAAGTGAACAGTCAGCATTGAGTTCTTCTTCTGATACATTGCATTTAGCTGCATTTAATAAACCCATTGCTGTTGGCACCGTTTTCAGATTTGTTGATAAGATTTGGTCAATAATAGCCAGAACGGTACACTGAGTGTCCACCATATTTGGTACCGAGTAGTTTTGTTGGATCATAAACATACCGACAAGTCGGACAACTTTACTTCCAAGATGAATGGACTTTTCCTCAACAAGTGGATCAGTGAAAAATGTTAGAGTGGATTGTGAATAGCTGAAAATGCTCTGTATCTCAGCCATGCCAAACACATCACGGGAAGAAAGTTGGTGAATGAGCTGAATTCCTTCTATGGCTTTCATTAAAATATCTGTCAGGTTATTAAGTCCATAAAATTCAAAAATGGAGCCAAGTTCTTCAGTGAATGGTGTGGAGATGTTATATGAAACGAAAGTATCAAGCTGACTTTGCAACTGCAGGAAGTGACCCATGATGCTGAGTGCAGAGGTCAAACTGGACAGAGTCTGTGTGTCGTTAAATGTTTCCATCTGTGAAAGGAAGTCTCCAAAATAGAACGTTGAATTCTGTAGCCAATAAACCAGCTTGTCTACATCCTGAATGGCTATCATGGTTTCAGCACTGTGCAGGAAGTTAAGGATTGCCTCCGTTTGCTGCAGAGACAACAGTCCGTTTTCAGGTAATATATCTCCGACAATGATCTTCAAAAACTGAAAAATCACGGAGATATTTTGAAGACTCCTTGGGTACATTATGATTGCCATTATTTCATGAGTTTGTCTGTTGATGGGAAGTGATGCGTTGGATCCATGGTTCATTTGCAGCAGCAATTCTGTCAGTCGAGCGGCAGCAGCTTGTATTTCAGACTGATTCATTGCTGGCTCAACGATGATGTTGAAGATGTTTTCAACATACATCCCAATTGTCATCATGATAGCTTGAATTTCCAATATGTCAACTTCAGTAATTCCACGTGAGCCAAAAGTTCTCCAAAAGTCTTCCAAAGTGTAAGTCGATATGTCTGTCATGTTGGTAATAAGATGTAAAACTATGTTCAGCTTGTCATAAAGGGGTGTGCCATCTGCATTGGCATCCGAAACCGACTCCATTAAAGGCTCTATTGACCGAAGCAGAAATTGAACCGCTCTGACTTCATTCTCAATTGGAATTAATGTGTCCATGTTAGCCACCACATACACGATGAATGCTTTAAAAACGTTAAGCTGGGTATGCGCACTACCATAATCAACCACAGATAGATCTTGAATCCAAATGTCTGATAGAGAGTTGAGTATGTGAAAAACCTCCTTTGCTGCTGGGTCAATGTGCAGATGCTCTAGAAACACTCCACACTGGTCCATTATCCCTGATATAGACCTCAGAGTCAACAGTAACGAATCATTGTGCAATGAAGACTGAAGATCCTGCAAATGATGGAGAAGGCTTTCAATATTCTGCAGAACGTCAAGAAGTGTGCTACTGTTTGCGATTTCCAGAAATATGTCAATGTCTCTTATGTTAATGTCTGAGTTGTTGGTGAACAGAGTATCTGTTGTGCTGTTTTCAGCGGTCACCATGTCTACCAGAAAAAGCAAGCTTGAGAATGAAGGGATTGATTGGAAATGTTCAGATGTATTTAAAATGTAACCAATTTCCATCAGTAATTGTGCTGATAGTTCTAAGAAAGTGTTCAGACTCTCGTTAGACATCCTTGCCTCAGACACCATGAGTTTTACTTTGCTTGCATCGGATTTGAGTGCCTGCAGTGTGTCATTGTCTGTATTTTTTAAAAGTCCGAAAGTTGTTTGATGAGCTGGTATTTTCCTTGTAAAACGATATGAAAAAATCCATAGGCATATCTCTGTTCTGTATGAAAGCTTGCAGAGCATCTGTGTAGTGGAGAATTAGGGACGTCATGTTTTTGAATTCTTCAGATATCTTGTCTGGCATCAGATTACTCAATTGTTCAGCCACAAACATTCCAAGCTCTGTTAAGTTGTTTTCACAGACACTTGCGGATGTTGGCATTAACGGATTGGATTTTGTCACGATGTGTCTTAAGTTGTGCACCAATGAAATAATGGCCTCGAGTGATGTACTGATGGCTTCTTCAGATGTAGCATTATCCAACAATTTCGCTGCTGTATTCGAAGCCTTCATTATGAATGGCATGAATTCTCTTAGGTCAGGGAAACGTTGTAAGTAGGCACTGATTTCACTGCTCAACCCATTTACAAGACTCTGCATTGTGTTGTTTGTGTTATTCAAATTGAAGTAATTTGGTTCAAAAACAAATGTAAGCACCTTTATGAATGTGACAATCATGTCTGTTGCACCTGGAGGTATAAAATTTGATCGTGTGATCTGTTTTAGTGAATACTCTATGACAGACATCCACTTGACATCAACAGTATCTGGTTGATCAGTCATCTCCGCGATGCTCAGCAAGACTTTTAGCATGCCAATAGAAAAACTGACAGGATTGCTTTCATTGGGGTACGTAGGTTGCCACTGATCCAACAGAAGCCTCAGATGTGTAAAAAGATCTTGGGTGGTATTTGCTGTGATCAGGCCTTGCATCGTGTTGAGCATTCCTGTCACGTCTGGATTGAGGAGCCCTGCATTTTCAATCTCAGACAGCATTTCAGCAAAAACACCTGGAGATAGGAGAGTCGATATCAGCTTCTCAAAATATCCTGGGACAAAAAGAGCTGTCCAATCGTCTACTGGAAATTGTGGAATGATGTGTTTCTGAAAAATGTTGTACAGGACATGTAAGACACTTACGGTCAAGTTTCCATATGTCTCCGGCTGACCATGAGAAAGCACGTAATTTAGCTGTGAAAAAATTTGCTGGCTGTTGTTCAAATTCAGGAAGGTTTGCGCGATACGGATTATTTCTGCAGTCTGTGCATCAAGAAAATCTGAGGATTCAATCTCGGCAAGTGTGTCAGCAAGAACTTTTGGGGACATGAGTTGCAAAATCAGCTTTTGAAATGTGTCCGGTTGGAAAATACCTGTCCAGTCATTTTCCGGAAATGCTGGTATAATTTGTTTCTGGTATAATTTAAGCAGGACACGCACGATTTTGATAGACAAATCACGCACTTCATCTGGTTGAGCCTGATGTAACAGGACCACCACATGTGATAGGATTTGCTGGGTGCTGTTCATCATGAGGAATGTTTGAGCAATATTTAAGTTTTCTGTAACTTGCCTGTCTACAAGATGTGATAATTGAATTTCTGATAAAATCTTTGCTACAACTTTGGGGTTTATGAAGTTCATCATCAACTGTTGGGATATTTCTGGTTGAAGAATAGCTGCCCAATCATGTGCAGGTAATACAGGCACAATTATGTTTTCAAACACATTTATCAGGAACTCCGTTACTCTTCGGCTGCTATTTTGAGCACTGTCTTGTGGCACCCAAGAGAGAAGCTGTTTGATCTCAGCAAGAAGCTGCTCAGAATTGTTAACTTTGAGAAAAGTCTGAACAGTGTTAAGGATATCTGCAGTTTTATTGTCAAGCAATCCTGAAGCCTGGATCTCTGTGAGGACACCGTATACGAGTGGTAAAATAGCATTGTCAATGCCGGTTGTGTTTGCAACCTCAATTACGTGATTTAAAATATCGAACTCTTTACTGACATTGATCCTGTTAAGAATAGCAGAGACATCATCGTAAAGTTGGCCTTCTGCTGGGGGAGAATTCTGCGACCACAGCCGAATGTTATTGTACAACAAGGCAATTACATGCGTCACACTTTTGTCATGTAAAATGCCCTGAATGAGGTTCGCTGTAGCCGAGATGGTTGAATTTGATTGTTGAAAACTGGCAATGAGGCTACTTAGGTTCTTATCTGAGCAGAACATCGTGTTCAGAGCGTTGCGGTCAACATTGACGATGTTCATCTGATTTAAGAGGTCCATAGATGCGTGGAGTGCTCTGAAAGAGAACGTAAAGTTTAAGATGTTTCATTGCAATGTTGCATTGCAGTATGTGATTCAATTGTAGCACAGTGTACACACATTCTATCACCTTTGCTTTAAATCACAGCAAGTGAATGTAGTTTGTGATTTGATGTTCCACAGTCAACACAGTATTATAACATAGGAAGCAAGGACAAGGCAGAAGGACCAGGCATCTGGTGACCAGTTCAAGCCTCGTCCATGGGCCAAAGCAGGGATTGGTACCACCTGAAGTGGCAAAACTGTAATTTTAAGATTGCATGCTATGATAACCCACTCACTTCAAATTATTATCACGTGATACCACTGTTATTGGCCGCATAAAGAAACTGAAACCGCGAAAGTTGTGCCACTTCAGGTGGTACCGACAAGTAAAATATAATCAGCACCCCGCCGACACTGGTGACATTTATCCCAGCCCAAAAGGCACGGGTACATTTTTTGTCACATTTTTTTCTGGCTGTTGAATTGCGTCTTTCGTCACAATAATTGTACGATTGTAATATTGGCAAGACGCACGAGTGACATTTAGCGTGTACCTTGGTATGAGCTCGTCGTTGGTCATGGCGTTGTTTTTGAAGACGATCATCTCGCTGATGAGGCCCCTCCACGGCACGGGAGCGTTCGCCCACAGCGTTACGTTTGGGACGGAGAAAATATCTGTTGGGCAATAAACAGACGGCCGAATTTTGATTCCGGCACATTTATACAACACGTACGCGGCGACCTCCACATCACCCGCAACGCGTCAGAATGCGTTCACGCTTCTTATGAATTGCGGCGTGTAGCATTTTTTGTTCCGTTTCCATAAGTGACTTCAGTCATTTGTGTGATATTTATTGAATGTGATACAATGTATACAGTGCTAAAGTCTGTTAATTGTTTTATTATATGTAACACATAGCCTTGTTAAACTGTGTGGGCGCGATAGTTTCCCCATGCCATTACATATGCAATGCTATTAACGATCAGGATTCCTGCAGAAATCTCCCAGCCCTCCTGCTTATACCCAAGTGCAAGCAGACAGGCCAGGATTCAAATTCATTTCACGAACATTTTAGCACATTGCATGTTACGCAACAGATAAAGTGATCCATTATAAGCACAGGCATTCATTAACTTTGTAAAATTGGGAAAACGTCAAATGTAACACGGCTAAGACACAGCTCTGCAGATGTTAAAGCCATAACAGGTAGCATGTCAACAATTCTCTGGGCGTGCACTGCGAAAATGTGTTATGAAACAATGTTTTGTAGCTTATAATGTGCATCTTCTGCGATATTATATTATCACTGTTTGTAGTATTGGCGGCTGCAAAAGGGGTTTTCAGAATGATGACTCGGCATTCGTGGGAAAATTAAAAGCCAGATCAGCATGGGGAAATCAGCAGGAATAGCAGCTTCTCGATGAGGGGAATGTTGGCCACCTCTTCCATGCTGGCCAGATGCCTTGGCAGAGTTGAAAGTACCCATGCTTACTCCACCACAATCGACCTGAAGATCGACTAACTGTGGTGAAACAATTGCCACTGCAGGGTGGACAGAGGGCAGGGCATTACAAAACGTGCTCCATTGTTTAAACTGCCGCGCTGGGAAATCGAACTGCCAACCATCGCACCACCCATACATATACAGATATATTTTTCGAAACATTAATAGCACATTATAACGCTTGCCTTCGCATTTGCTCGTAAAGCTGGTGGTATTTTGCTGGTTTATTGTGGAGATGATCCAATGCAAGCCATTGACAAGCTGGTCCATGCTGGGCCATCCCAGTGTCTGCTGCACCATCATGCCCACAACATCGGTGACGTCCAACATCCTGCAGACAGTCGAGAGGAACGACGGGAAGCGATGTTGCAGATTTAATTTAAAATGTGAGCATACAGAGTGAAATCCATGATCATTTTTCAGTACGCGATGTAATTCAATGAAGTTATTTTGAAGTGTGTATTCGTCAGTCCGGAAGCGAGTTGCTGTGCTTATGAAATTATATCCTAGCCTCTTGAGTTCTCAGCTGGTAAAACAAAATCAACATTAAACTTGACAATTGCTTTATGCCTGTCTCATAGATAGGCCCTTAACTTTGGCAAGGGTTTAAAAAATGAAACAACAAATGCTGTACTGTGTATATATTTAGGTATTTGTGCAGTGATTGGTAACCAGGCTAATATATCAACTTTCTATAAAATGGTAACGTTCATCTCATGTGCCTTTCCAGGATATCATTTTGAATACAGGATCTCAGTGTGATTGAGGTAACTCAACATAGAACACGAAATAATCTAACATATATCTACTCACCACAACCATGTGTTAGTTTGTTTGCAGATACAATGGAGTGATTGGTTAATGTCAAACCAAACAGCAAGGCCACGATAACCAAATAAGACAGCACGTTTAAAGCAGGTCTAATTGTATACAGCAGCCCATACCATCTTGTGTTTAAGATTGCCTAGTGGTCATTTGAATGTCACAACATTATAATTTAACATTTTGAATACCAGTTTTTATATGTGTGTGTATATATTGTTAGACATACAAAAGTACATGAACTTTAATACAAAGTTTTCCAGACAAAATTCTTCATTGAACTGCAAATGCCAACTCGTTCAAAACTAATTTTCATCACCACCTGATGAATAACCGACTCCATTACCAGATAATTGTGGCATTCATATGGAAATGTATTTCCATCTATTTCATTTACTCATGCACTCAGTAACTCAAAGGTGCTCCACGTCTCCACGGCCTACATGGTAAAGATGCAGCCCTGCAATAACTTGTGCATGCCAATGCAAGTACCCATACTATAGCCCACCAATGTGGTATACCCCTTCATAGTATGCTGTTGTGAAGTGTGAGGCACGTGGATTCAAACAAACTTACAACACCATTGTTTCACTTGCCATGTCAGGAGTCCACATTAAAACCGGCGTCCTCTGGTTTGCAAGTTCGGTCACAACACACCACATCAGCATCCTCAATATTTACAATACCAGCCACAGAAAGCGACTCCCACCACTTCTACCAACTGTGCAAGTAACAAGTATAAAATTGTTAAAGTCTACTGTTTTTTAAAGCCTGACGGTTATGGTTTATTGCGATTTATATTTCCACGATATATGAGCGTGTTTAAACGGCCCATCTTGGGGCTGTTAGAAAGATACTCTTTGGTTCTATTTGGTAAAGTCACGTAGGTAAAAAAAAAAAATCACGACGTTTCGGCCACAACACAAGTGGCCTTCTTCAGGTGAAGGAACAGAACTGTCGGGACGACAGCAAGTGCAGCAAGTGCTGTCGTCCCGACAGTTCTGTTCCTTCACCTGAAAAAGGCCACTTGTGTTGTGGCCGAAACGTCGTGATTTTTGTTGTTTTATTTTTTACCTTCGTGACTTTACCGAATAGAACCAAAGAGTATGGATCCTTGCAGTCACGAAAGCTTCAAATCTAGAACTGTTAGAAAGAGTCTGATGTCGATGGGCACCACCAGCATTCAGTTGCACATTTTTATGGACGCATGCTGTTCGCATTTTTTTAATATCTTTCTGATATATCGCAACTTAATGTGCTTTTGGCATTAAGTCACGAGACACAGAATAATGTTGGTAATCTCACAGTCGAGTCTGCCCCGTGTCAGAGATTGGCAGTGGAAGAGATTTGTCATGCGACTTTTTCCCGAAAAATCCTTCAAGTGGCCTATTAATTCTTTACATGGGGCCCATTGTATAATCATTGGAACAAATGCGGCGACTTGTTTACTATAATAAACCTAAGTTACTGAAAGGAGGAAAACACCTCACTGATCTGCCCATGGGGTCATATTCCCATGTGCCATCCATGCAGCTTTCATGAAACACTTTACACGCACATCCATTGTATATGAAATGGGCATTCAGCAAGCTAGCAGACGCAATTTGTGGAAGATTGCTTTCTGTAGCGTTCTCCTGCACTCCAAAGAATGCAGCATATCATATTATTCAAGAGCATTTCATTTATTATCCAAAATGAAAATGTTTTACTGTTGGAAAAGTTAATTGTAATTCTATAAGATGCTAAGGGCATCTCACTTAGCAGCAATACTTTCCATTGCTGTGGAGTCAATTTACAAATGTCAATCACGAGATGTGTGCAGGTTGGGTGTAGGACCATGCACAGTAACATCGGCACTTTATCACAGGCACACAGTTCAAATTGTGGTGTAGAAAATGGCAATTACATTACAATAAAACTGATAACTACGGTTGTCCTAAGTGCCATGACCTTAGGGTTGCGTGGTTTATTTGCACGTATTGACTCAAGTGCCGCACTCTGATAACCCCGTAGGCAATTCCCACCCTGCACCTCTTCATCTCTTATTGTCCCTCTCTTCATCTATTATTGTCCCTCTCTTCATCTATTATTGTCCCTCTGTCATTCACCCCACTTTCTTGCCTCCCAACAACGATAGTTTTCCTCCTCAGCTTTAAGCATTTAACTTAAATATTATTTCATCCTTCCATGTCAGCGTGGGAGACTGCTTCTATTGCCACTTAATCAAATGCCTAAACATGGTCAGTAAAAGCCTTGCATAATGGTAATTCACGTAAATTTGTCTCTCATATATATTTGTTGATGGTGTGTATGTTTCAATTGTGGAATAACCTTTCCTAAATCCGGGTTTCTAATGTGGTTGACTATAATGATGATTTCACGTGGCCAATGAATTCAGTTATAAGTGATTTAGCCATTCAGTTGCTTTTTCTAGGAGTTGGTGAATTATAAGAACTTAATAAATGAAGATGCGTAGAAAGTTGGGTTCAGGATAAATATGAACAAAACAAACATCATGGACAACAAGTTTGTAAATGATTGCATATATCTGTGTGGGGGAACACAATTGTATACACAGCACAATTTGTATATCTGGGTGTAGAGCTATTAAAGGTAAACCAGAATCAAAGTAATGAAACAAAGATGAGGATGACAACAGGTTGGAGTTCTTTTGGAAATATGAACTTTATACTTGAAGGTATATTACCAATATGCTTAAAAAAGGTTTTTTTTTTTTAAATTGGTGTCTACTACCTGCCATAACATACGGTTCAGAAACATGGTCACGATGACAAAAACGTAAAAGTGTGCATAGAAGCGTGGAGACATGCATTCTTCTGGGAATTACACTGAGAGACAGAAAAAATAACACATGCAGGTGAATGATATCAAACTGTGGGCTTGGGCAGGCCACGGCCCAGAAGAGGTGGTGCCTGATGGTCAAGAGCCATTACGGGGCACATTCGAGAGGATATCCACCGAGGAGATGGAGCGATGAAATCAGCCCGTGTGCAGGTGCTGGATTAATTATTATTAGATCTAAGATCATGCGAGGTTGTGGCTTGGGGAGGCCTTCAGCCAGCAGTGGATTAACCCTGGATGATGATGATGATGAATACAAGTATAGGATACAACAAATAATGTCTGAATTACAATTTCAGTCACACTTGTAGTTCTTGCTGTGTTTATCGTATATCTGATACGAAAGGGACCTACTGATGTGACAGTAGACATGTGGCAATGCACGGGATTGGTTTCAAAAATATATTACACGTGCATTTTTCTAACAGCCTTCATGACCAATCACAGCATATCCATAAAAACCTTAAGGGCCCTCGGAGTAACTTTCCCACGGTACTTCGCAATAAGGCGTCTTACCTTAAGGGCCCTCGGAGTAACTTTCCCACGGTACTTCGCAATAAGGCGTCTTATTTCATCAATCGTGCGGATATGGCGATTGCTCAACGAATGCAGTAAGCCGCCACATACCAGGTAAATCGTTTGTGCCAATGCTACAGAATGATTGTTGTCAAGAATCTCCCCCCTTCGTTCTTACGGCGTTTAAAAAAAAAAGCAAAAGGCTACAATTGTGCGGTATTTTAATTTCATAAGTCATTGCATGGCATTGGGGGTTAGTAGTCGAGTCGACTTGTTCCACTAGAATCCGAATGTGTTGGGCAGTCGTGGGTTGTCAAGAATGAATCGTTATGTTGAGCCTGTCACGTGGATTTCCGTTGCCAGTCTAATGCATGAGTCATCACTGTTTGACAGACGCAGCGAAGTTATTGCTGCCTAAAGTGCATTTTTAGGCCATGAACCCAGTTCGGTCTTTACTCACGCAACTTTTTTTCTAGACTGATATATTTTTATGCAAGTTTTGGATCACAGATAAAACCACCAATATTGTATAATTATCACTAATATTATGACCCCTTTGGCATGTTGCTCATTGTGTGCTTATCTTTTCATTTCTTTATATTTGTAACCTCTAGCCTATGTTACTGAACATTTATTATGTGATATAAGGATGTATTATTGTAATTTATGCATTTTTTTAAATAGGAACATATTTTCCCTATAACTATTTTCACATAAAAAAGTTGGTTATCTGAACCGACTAAACAGAAAAGACAGGATATACAACACATACCACCATCAATTCTAACTACACAATTCTATACAATTGTCGTTAGCATAAAGATACATTTTAATCAATGCATTTGTAATGTTCAACACGGAGGCACACACTCTGGACTGGGAGGCAACACTTTAACTTAACAACTTCTCTAGCGGGTAACACTGAACGTAACTTGGGTTCTCTAGTAGGTGATGTGGCTCACTATGTGAGTAGCGAGTTAACTCGAGACGAAGACCCGGAAACGACAAGACGCGGGACCCAGGCTTGATTCTACAGACGGGCCCAGAACACTCCCGGGACTGCCCCTTGATTGCCCCCCTTCGATACCTTTCCCGAATGATCTCGATCGAGCATCACGTGCCGCACTCAGGCTACCACCACCTCCCTTGCCCTCTCTCTCAGGCCATCACCAGGACTATGCCCCCGAGGGCTGGCTGACATGCCGTGCTTACTCTGGTGCAAGAGAGAGGCTCCAGACGCACAGTTGCACTGCGCGAACACCCTAGTGATACCATTTACGCCACGACACATTTACGGATCATCATACCCTTAATAAACACCATATATCATAATTGTAACAAGGTCAAAATATAACGGGTGGTTTTACTTTGAAGCTTTTGCATTACTTACTTGCGTGTTTTTCTCCACTATTTAAACAGATAGGAAGGTACTATAACGAAAAAAACACCACTGCCTTTGCTAAACATCTCTTATGGGCATATACATTCGAACTAACTCACAGGTTGATGAGTAGGTGTTCCAAAAAGGAGTCCAGCAGTGCTGTGCTGCTGGGCGGTGATGGCGGCATCACGCCAAACACTTGCTGCAGGTAGCTGTAGAATTTCGCCTGGGCATCCACATTCTCTCCGGCAGCATCCACCACGCTCTGCCAGCTTGCGTACAGCTCGGAGATCCTTGGCGGTTGTCCACTCGGTGCCACTTGGCTCCCGTTCACCAGGATCGCCAGCGTGGTGCTCTGGGAGACGCGCGCGGGCAAGCAAAATTATTATATTTATCAGTGCGGGATAATAGGTCCGAAGTTGCGTGTACCTTCAGCATTTTTATCAAAGTGTTATGCATTTACTGGTGACGTGTTTCTTTTGCGACAGAGATATATGTCTGGTGTAAAAGGTACAGGGAAAAATGCAGGAGCATATAAGCAGTTTCGATATATACAGAACAATACAATTTGATAGTATATTTTGTAAAATTAAGCTCAATATACTGTAAAAAAATACATGATATATGCACATGGTGTATTGTTTATAATATACGATATTATATGATGTAAATTGGCATATTATTTGTACAATAACCTATGACTTGTAATTAATTTCGATTTCAATTAGTATGTTCGCTAACATAAATACCCTAACATGTTACGCAAAATCCTTCTCTGCACTTAAATTTCTTCCCTGCACTTGAAGCCCCATGACATGGGTTGCAGATCGTAAACAGATTGTCAGAATTCCTTCCACATGACAAATCTGTTTAGCTATTGCTGACATGGGCTGCCAGCAGTATATCACGGGGGGAGGGAGGTGCTTTATCAATTGTTTAAGAATGCTACACGGTTGTGAATGTCACCGCACTCGTATTTCAAGCAGGGGTGCCATTGATAATTAGGCTTGAGCCTCAGTGCAGCCTTTTACAAAGTAAAAAAAAAATTGCGCGCGCGTGTGTGACAATGCGGAGTTGGTGGCATGTCGCTGCCGTCGCACGTACGGCCCCCTGCAGAGCCGCGTAGTGACCGAGCGCCGCTGTCAAGTTGCCGAGGGTGGACCCGCTCGTGTTCGCTTGGCACATGGCAGAGAGCACGGTCTGGCGGTCGGTCAGGATATCCGCGGGCAGCATGTCCCACAGCACCATCAGGTCCATGCAACTCAGCGACCGATTTTGCTGCAGTTTCTGCAGATGCGGGCGAAACCAAAGGATCGCGACGTGGTTGGTGCAGGGTTGGTGCAGGCGTCCAATGGAGAGCGAGATGGCAGGCAGCAGTCTCCACGTTCAGCGAGAAATCACGACTCGCATCGATCAGCGGTCTGCCGGTCTTCATAGCAACAACTCAAGGCTTCCAAAACAGGGTTGTTCTTTTTGTGAGCCTCAAAATACACGGCTGCTATAATGACAATTATTATAGTACTGCAACTGCATTCCTTTAAAAAAAAAAGTAGATATTGTAAAATACGAGTACCTGCCGCTGCTGCTGAAATTGGAGCACGTTGTGAGTTATGTGTCTTGGTGATAATTAATGTCACTGAACACTTAAGTGGTCATAAGATCCTTCTGTACATTATCATTATTTAACTTCAGGGTACCTGGCTCCAATTTCCACGGGGAAAATGTTACCTGTCAACAATATGACGTCCACGTGGTGGATTGACAAATGAAAACCAATAAACTTGTCCTGTATACCAGAGTACCTGAGGCACGCATGTCAGAAGGCTCCAAGGCTGAAGGGATGTGCAGAAAGACAATCTTGAGTTTTATATGTGGCGGGAGAGATATGGATGTGAAGGAGGCGCATCGTCTGCTTATTTCATGTGCTACTCATATTTTCCACAACGACGCTCATGATTAGTTTGCGCGTATCAAGTAATCACGAGCATACCCAAGCCTGTGACGCAGGTGCGCTTGGCTTGTGGTGCAATAGCTACTGCTAGTGTCCGTGCACTTTGCTTGCCATGTGTATAGCTGACATACACCCTGGCCCGATTTACATTCATACCTGGAGTAAACGCTTAAAATATGAGTAACTTACAAAAATAATACATACTAACTTTTAAATCTGCTTAAGAGAACACAGCATGAAATAATAAAAACATATATAATAATTGTACGTAATAAAGGTTTTTGGGTTAAATCGTGTAAGTATAAATGTTCCGTAACCCTCCACCACCCAACACAGCCAGTAAGGTTTGTCGCGTAAACAACGCGCCAATTAGTTTACTACTTCAGCCCACCGGTGTGTTGGAGAGTAAAATCCACAACATTAACAATTTGTAGTAACTCATCGGCACATTGTTTACGTGACAAACCTTACTGGCTGTGTCGGGTGGTGGAGGGTTACAACACATTTATACCCTACGCGACCTAACCCAAAAACCTTTTTTATTAATAATATTGAGCGCGAAAGCCTACGTGTTAACCTGATAATAATTGTACTTTGCCACCCACACTTCAAGGGCATTACATATGACAGGTACTCCCAAACCGCCTTTTAGTGTCTTAATTAGGGTTTGAAAATGTTCACGAATATAAACGTGCTTTTATGTCAGTTCAAAAATGTTCATTTGTTAACTTTATTTCAACCCTCACTCTCTGTGCCCCAAAGTCCACTACCCAAGACACAGCGACAACATCCATTTACAAATATGACATGTAATATGGCGTATATCATTGTGGCACGTGTGTGTGTGTGTTTGTGCTCGAGTAAAGCAGATAATATGCAGTGTTCATGGTTAACGTGGTGAGCTTCTTTGAGTTTAATAGCAGTCAATGTGGATGGTAATGCGTGGTCACAGATATTCCTCTATCCTTGGTCATAAAGCAATGGCTCTATGGAGAGTCCATGGCCAGCCACTCTATTCAAATGTAGAATTAACTTAATGACTGAAACATCTGGATGTCAAATGTGACCAATCGCTTGGCTGTGAGTGGATACCTTGCCCACAGATTAAACACTTTCAAGTTGATGTCAATGCATTACAGGTGAGTAAAACACACCTTTGTTGCATGAGCTATCAGCACAAGCGATATGTTTGATATTGATATATGACATCATTAGAACTATATTCTGGTTGTGCGCAAACATGTGTGAATTGCATACGCTCATGAGGTTATGATAATAATCATAATTATTTACATTTATAATGCACAATTAATCCAGGGATCTCGTGTAGGCCTGCAGAACATATGCTAATGAGGTTATGATAATAATCATAATTATTTACATTTATAATGCACAATTAATCCAGGGATCTCGTGTAGGCCTGCAGAACAAACAGGTAAAGCGTTTATAGAAGACCTAAGCATAGCGAGTGACGCGCCTTGTCTAACCTGCTTCACTTCAGTGACGAAGACGTCAACGTCGGCAATCATTTGCCCTAGGAGGTCAACCCGCCGGTTGGCGTCCGAGGCCATCAAGTCGATGTTTTCGGCGATGACGGTCACCACTTGCCTGGCCAGAACAAGCAGCTCTGAACAAACAAAGAAAAACACACACGTACACACGTGTAAAGACAGTGCGGAGAGATAGCGGGACAGTATGGTTCCCCGGGACTATGGTTACTAATGGGCGTGCCGATGATGATTGGTGGGCTGAGCGTTGGCAGGGTCACGTGAGGGGGAGCACGGGATCCAATGGCGGGGAAGTGTAATTAGGGCGGAGATTGACAAGAGCAGGTGCGGCGAGGAGAGTTCGGGAATAGGGGCGTGGCCGGACCGGGCGAGGGATAAGAACCGGCGGGAACCGGACCTGGGGGCTGTTTGGTGTGGGGAACCGTCGTTGGATCGGGTCGTCTCCATCGTCTGCGAGTTGTCTTGAGACTAGAAGCTACGCTGTCTCTGAATAGGGTTGTCTCTGAACTACCCAAGGGTACAGAGTCACTCGCGGTTACTCGTTGAGTTGTCAGTGGACTTTATTCATACAGAAGACAAGACGGTGTCTCTGAGAGCTACATTACACACGGGCACACGCAAGCACCGTCACAACTGTCAGGGTGAAATTAACATACAGCACAATTTGGACTGATATTGCGGCATCTAATTGTGCCCACATATCACGACACTGCACTTCGACAGATGCGGAGGAATGTTTGCTTGGAATGTTGTACGCTTGGTTGAAATTGCTGGCGATTTTCTACTAACACCTTTACACAATATGCAAATTAAGCCCATAATATGTAGTTTCACGCATGCAATTTCCAACGGGATCAGTGAACAGGAACGTTCTTAAGGCAAATACTTTAAAAAAAAACAAATGTTTACTTACTGGGGGTAGGGAAATAATGCACGAAGCCACAGAGTGTGTCACGTGATATTTTACCTGTATTCAATTTGGTTGCATGCAGAATCACATCTCTGACTGCTTGCACAGCCTGCAGGACCTTTGAAATCTCCGCGCCGAACTGAAGGCCATCCAACGCCTGCTCAGCCACGCCCAGCGCCCAGGCATAGCCCTCGCTGTAAAGAAACAACAACAGCAGAAGCAGCACAGTCACGACTCATGTGCAGGGTGCGGCAAAATGCAGTTGCACTCAATGCCGACTCTGGTGACTCTCACGTGACCCAGCCAGTCCACGTCTTCTCATCATCAGGCACGATTGCAGCCTTGATGCAATAGTATAGCCCAACTCCAAACTCTAAAGCTGGATACGCATCGACAAGTTAATTCACGCAAATCACTTGATTGACGTGTGTCAATCAATGCATGATTTGCACATTAAGAATGCTCTCTGCCTTGCAAATCTGGGTCACGAGGAGAACTGGAAAAAGAGAACCTCTTTTAAGATGCACCACATGCATATATCTATAGCATTGTAATAGTTTTTTACCCTTTTAACTGACACCTTTTTTAAAGGGGTCATGTTTGCAATAACCACAACACAAGCAGTAAAAATGCAAACAAAAAGAGACAACTCTGATAATGATATGCACTGTCCTTGAAATTGATTGGTCCACACCCGAGACGGCTTTTCTTAGAGCCTCGTCTCCACTGGTGTTGGACCAGATGACGCCAAAAGGCGTACAACTCAAAAACAGCGCACTATCAGAGTATTGAGAGCTCGGGGTAAGCATTTACATTATGAGACCTCCTTTGCCAGGAGGTCTCATAATGTAAATGCATAATGTAAATGCTTACACCCGAGCTCTCAATACTCTGATAGTGCGCTGTTTTTGAGTTGTATGCCTTTTGGCGTCATCTGGTCCAACACCAGTGGACACTAGGCTCTAAGAAAAGCCATCTCGGGTGTGGATCAATCAATTTCAAGGACAGTGCATATCATTATCAGAGTTGTCTCTTTTTGTTTGCATTTTGACTGCTTGTGTTGTGGTTATTGCAAACATGACCCCTTTTAGAAAGGTGTCAGTTTTGGTGCCAGATAAAAGGGTAAAAACCTATTACTATATCTTGCTACTGGCAAAGGAGGTCTCATAATATCTATAGCATTGTCAAAGACATCACTTGTACTCCAAAGAACTTACTTCTGCGGAGGTCCCAAAATTTTGTCAAATACAAAGTACCTTTGGACGTAAAGTTAAAACGTCCTATGCTATTTTCACGTCCGTGCCAACCAGCTTCCTCCTCTTACGCAATGGCAGCTCAGGCAGCGGATAGGTAACGGCTATCCACGAATGTCGAGGTTGACGAGCCACGTGATGCTGCGGATGTCTGTGACGTTGGCGGGGGAATAGTCGGAGTGGACCGTGTGGGATGGCGTGCTCCACGTTGAATTATCATGGGTGGAGATGGTTATTTTTTAAGGGGATTGTTTACACGTGACTACTTTTACAAAATTCGCATGAACGAGAGGGAAACTAATTAATTTGATTCTATGGGTCTTTCGGTAAAGCCACATAGAGAGAAAAATAAAAAAAATATATATCACGTTTCGATCGCAACACAAGAAATCGTCTTCAGGTGAGAAAACGGTTGCTTGTGTTGCGATCGAAATGTCGTGATATTTGTATTATTATTTTTCTATCTACGTGGCTTTACCGAAAGACCCATAGAATATGTTTTCCTGCAGTCACGAAAGCCTTAAGTCAAGATAACATTTATTTTACAATTTGGCCAAAGGGTTATTGTACCAAACGTATGCAATTCTGGTGGATATCAACCACCATTAAGATTTTGCTGAGTTGCAGTTGTTCATTCCAAAATATTACATTATTTATGGCTACCATTACAGCAAAAAAGACATGAATGGAATGTGGAGTAACGAGATGCCATAAATTACTTTCAGGGCCAAAGCATTTAAATAGATGGTCTTGAAACGTTTAACTGGAAAAAAGCTTGCATCAGCTATAATCTTGTAAATAACTGCAGAAAGGTACAACAAAATAACTTAAAATAAGACTGCAATAGGAAACATTGCACGCAGGGTAACTACAAAAGAGAGTCTTGGGAAATAGACATGACACATGATAACCAAAACAAATCAAAGAGCGCTGTTTATAAAATAAAAATCAATATATTTATCTTTGCGATTTACTCATCTTTCCTATACTTTGCACTCCTATTGCGTTGTCGTATTATTTGTTGTTATGACTTTCTGACCCCGTGGCCCCCTACTGGACACCTGTGAAAAGGGGCTCCATGGCTCACCGGATTCCTCTCAGTACAGGTAAACACACAGATTCTGATCTTTACTTGTGCCCTCAACCGACGCGAGAGGTGACCAACCTGCTCCAGTCGTACACCCGCGCCGACTGACGCAGCAGGGGCAGCCAGAGGCGCGCCTGGCGCAGCGCCACTCGCACGCTGCTCACGTCCGTACTGCTCAGACCCCAAAAGGTGCCGCTGCTGCTGCTGCTGTTGTCCTGCAGCTCTTTCTCGAGCCACGTGAGCACCGTCTGCAGGGTGTAAGGCGAGCGGCCACGTGTGCGAGAGTGAACGTAATGCTGTTGCGTGGGTTTCCACGGTCGCTCCGTGGCACTCGGCGGTGTTTTCGGGTTGCCGCGTGCCGTTCGGAACGACGTCGGCGCGTTTCACTCGAGGTGCTGGAAGCTCCTTTGGGAAAAAGCTGAACCGTTCCCCGAAGGGATGGGATTTGTTCCTGAAGGAGCTTCCAGCACGTGGAGCAAAAAACGTTGGACACCAAGTCGAACGGCATGTCCCGAACTCGAAAACACACCGGAGAGTCGTTGAGTACATTGTCATCATAAAGTCATATATACGTACAGCTATGTTCTTATACTTCATTGTTATTTTTCTTTAGAACATAAATTTCGCTTTGGCGACGTGTCTTTTTATTATTTCATTTGAAAAATGTCGAATACATTGGGAGCAAAAAGGTACCTAATACGTCTACTCGAAAGAATGTATCTGTAGTGCTGATTTGGCGAATATCGACAGCCACTCCTGATAGATCAACTAATTTTAGCAAAGCAAATGAATGCCCTCATACGCCTACTCTGTAAAACTCCCTGAGTTAGTAACGTCAGGTATAACGCAGCCTCCTGCATAGGTCTCAACCAATAGTCCTGTATGATGCAAGTGGCTATTGTGAATTGTAAAGAAAAGCACCTCCACACCTCAAAGAACGTATCTAAAAAATGAAATAAAAAATGTAACAATATATTTTTACATCTCAATACTACTACCACGACTACTACCTCTTCGCACCTCCGATTAGCACGGTTGGCTACGTACGGTGTGCGAAAGAAGTTCAACATACTTTACCTCAAAACTCCTTCCAAATCATAGTAGCTGATGAGATTAAATACGCCTTCAAAGAAATCATAATAACCATAAAGTTAAGCCCTCTGCCAAACTCACGGCAACGTGGCAGCTGTCCCACGCCACGGTCACCATGGGGGTTGTTTGACCTTACTTGACCCCCACATTGTTGAAGCGGGTTCACATGCAGATACAGTCTTTTCACCGGAAGAGGCACGTTCAATGGCACGTCGATTATTGCACGAGACTCAAATTCCTTTGCTTTCCGGACCCACACCTACGTTTTCTGGACGTGTCACCTTGCTCAATAGAGCGTGATGATGGCAAAGTCACAGTTGCAGAGGTGCAGATTTGGAAAAAGTAATGCCAAGTGAAGACATAAATGCGTTATTTAAGTGAAGCACCGAATACAAGGATGGGCGGGGGGATTTTTGTTTTTGTCATGAGTTCAGAATAAAATTTTGATTTAAAGCTTTCGTGACTGCAGTAATTCATATTCTTAGTTCTTTCGATAAAGTCACGTTGAAGGGAAACAACAAAATAATAAAATATATATAAAACAATAAAAATTCTCACGACGTTTCGACCATAACAGAAACGGTCGTCTTCAGGTGTGTCGGTTTGCAAACCCTTCAACGTGACTTTACCGAAAGAACTAAGGATATAAGTTCAGAATTGTTTTTTCCTGAGCAAAGACCATTGAGCTAAGGAGGTATTTTTCAAGGGTGCGACGCTACCACAAAAGTCACGTGACTACGGTGGTCGCTGTTTTCCACTTTCTGTGCCCTCAGGCGATATCTGCCCCGTGACCTGTAAAATGTTAACTGCCTCAGCAAAGTTACGGCGTCCGAAAATTTATGTCAGTGACACACACCACGCTTGCCCCAGTACAGCATGTACCCGCGTATGAAGGCGTATTTCCACCAAACAAGGAGTGGCTCATGAAATTTGTACAAACCCATGCCACTGGAAACTCAGGCCATACTGTCAAGAGTGAGTAAATTATTCATAGTTATCAGACCTTTCACCAAACTTACTGTGATATTGAAATTCATTCGCAGCATCCCTCAGCACCGTGAATGGCCTGATGTACACCGAAATTGTAGACTATCCAGCAGTGGATTACCAATGGGCTATGATTTTTTTCTAATATATTTTCCTATATTAAATGTGAACTTATTTCAAACCCAAGTCAATGTTGCTAAAATATAGTGTAAGTGAATAACTGTGAAAGTCCAACATGACAGTCGCTGCGCAGCTACAGTGAAGGAAAAAAGTATTTGGTCCCCTGCTGATTTTGTACGTTTGCCCACTGACAAAGAAATGATCAGTCTATAATTTTAATGGTAGGTTTATTTGAACAGTGAGAGACAGAGTAACAACAAAAAAATCCTAAAAAACGCATGTCAAAAATGGTATAAATTGATTTGCATTATAATGAGGGAAATAAGAATTTAACCCCTCTGCAAAACATGACTTAGTACTTGGCGGCAAAACCCTTGTTGGCAATCACAGAGGTCAGACGTTTCTTGTAGTTGGCCACCAGGTTTGCACACATCTCAGGAGGGATTTTGTCCCACTCCTCTTTGCAGATCTTCTCCAAGTCATTAAGGTTTCGAGGCTGACGTTTGGCAACTCGAACCTTCAGCTCCCTCCACAGATTTTCTATGGGATTAAGGTCTGGAGACTGGCTAGACAACTCCAGGACCTTAATGTGCTTCTTCTTGAGCCACTCCTTTGTTGCCTTGGCCGTGTGTTTTGGGTCATTGTCATGCTAGAATACCCATCCACGACCCATTTTCAATGCCCTGGCTGAGGGAAAGAGGTTCTCACCCCCAAGATTTGACGGTACATGGCCCCGTCCATCGTCCCTTTGATGCGGTGAAGTTGTCCTGTCCCCTTAGAAAAACACCCCCAAAGCATAATGTTTCCACCTCCATGTTTGACGGTGGGGATGGTGTTTTTGGGGTCATAGGCAGCATTCCTCCTCCTCCAAACACGGCGAGTTGAGTTGATGCCAAAGAGCTCCATTTTGGTCTCATCTGACCACAACACTTTCACCCAGTTGTCCCCTGAATCATTCAGATGTTCATTGGCAAACTTCAGACGGGCATGTATATGTGCTTTCTTGAGCAGGGGGACCTTGCGGGCGCTGCAGGATTTCAGTCCTTCACGGCGTAGTATGTTACCAATTGTTTTCTTGGTGACTATGGTCCCAGCTGCCTTGAGATCATTGACAAGATCCTCCCGTGTAGTTCTGGGCTGATTCCTCACCGTTCTCATGATCATTGCAACTCCACGAGGTGAGATCTTGCATGGAGCCCCAGGCCGAGGGAGATTGACAGTTCTTTTGTATTTCTTCCATTTGCGAATAATCGCACCAACTGTTGTCACCTTCTCACCAAGCTGCTTGGCAGTGGTCTTGTAGCCCATTCCAGCCTTGTGTAGGTCTACAATCTTGTCTCTGACATCCTTGGAGAGCTCTTTGGTCTTGGCCATGGTGCAGAGTTTGGAATCTGATTGATTGATTGCTTCTGTGGACAGGTGTCTTTTATATAGGTAACAAGCTGAGATTAGTGCTCCTAATCTCAGCTCGTTACCTGTATAAAATACACCTGGAAGCCAGAAATCTTTATGATTGAGAGGGGGTCAAATACTTATTTCCCTCATTACAACGCAAATCAATTTATAACATTTTTGACATGCGTTTGTCTGGATTTTGTTGTTGTTATTCTGTCTCTCACTGTTCAAATAAACTCACCATTAAAATTATAGACTGATCATTGCTTTGTCAGTGGGCAAACGTACAAAATCAGCAGGGGATCAAATACTTTTTTCCCTCACTGTATATGTAGCGTGGCGCTACTACACTGCTGTTTCGTGGAACTCTTTTAAGCTTTGGGCGATGCTGTCATGTAGTATGTTCATATATTTACGTGTCACTGCCAGAGTTGGGTATACATTGTAAAGCATTCCACTTTTAATTTTCCGAGTAAAATATTCACTGAAAATAATTTACAACACAGGGGATCACTACATTTCCCAAATGCCCCTGCAGAACTGATGACAACGGTAATGCAGGCTAACATTTAGAACTGCACAACCGCTCTAGAACTCCAAGTAGCATATTATATACGATGCAAGCTGCCCTGCGTAGCGTTATGCAAGTCTTGAGTACTGTCTAGAGACTACTACCAACAGTGGTGGCAGGCGAACGCGACTGAAAACAGTGTTGGATGCAAAAAAACACCTCGAATGACATTTTGCTTCATTGATTAAATACGTCAAAATCACAGCATACAACATCTACATCAGTATACATAAATGGATCATCAGCGGCCGCTGTAGACACTATACATCCACTGCTGAATGACGGCCTGCCCATGATGGCACAATCCATCTTGTTCCTGTGCGTGAAACAATCTAATCGTTTAAACTCCAGGGTCATCCTCGTGGACCTCATCCCTCCTTTGGCTGTCACTCCGCGATCACCCCTTCTAGTCCAAGCACACTTACTCTTATCAGCAGCTATAACAAGGTCTCCAATTTGTGTTTATTCTCGAATGCATATGTTCTTCCTTCCACATTTGGTGTAATTTCTAGCGTGCGTCTCTCCTTGCTCTTCGCGTGCCTTTCAGCTGTTGCATTTCAGCTTCGATGTCAGTGGCCATGTTTCCGTTCCATATGTGATAGCGAGTCATTTGTATGAACTGAAAACCTTTTTCAAGCGGACTGGTATATTTCCTTGCATTTGCGTACCGCTTCATATCATCATTTTGATCCGGGCCCACCTTAAATAATTGCCCTCGACATGCACACACACACACACATATTCTCGAGTATTCTCCATTTGTGAACTACATTTTACTTCGTTATGTTTGCACACAATGTAGCCAAGTTGTGAGAGATGGCTGTGAGTTGAGGCACCCTTCATCCCGCAATGGATTAACAATTGCTGATTATGGTGATGTATTTCAATTTGCCGTGTTCTATGTCGGCATGATGCAGCTGTGGCGTCTTTTTTGTTTACCTTCGGTATTTATGAACGCTCACACGTGTGTGTGTGTGTTTATCTGTTAGTGAATGGCAACTTACCTCAAAGAGTGAAAGGCTGATGTTAAAAGAATCTCCACTTGTGCTTTTGTTAAAACCTTTCTGAATTCCTTGGTCCAGCCAGTCCCTCCAAGCTGCAATCAACACAGCAATCATGAGGACAGTGCTCTGTCTAATATTCGATTATTATCACTTGGCTTCACTTAATCGCAATACCTCTTTAAAAATATGAGTTTAATAAAATTCAATTTCTTAAATACCAACTTTATTCTGCAGTAAAAAAAGAGCAATTAGATTTTTTCATTCGGGAGAAACAATTCAAAATGTTGTCTTCAAATTTGAATTACAATTATATAATCTAGCTGCCGCCTGATGATGCCGGTTGTAATTACAGTCAAAACGTCGTACTCAGATTGTAAATGTTGTGGCTTTGCTCTCCAACACACCGGTGTGCTGTACTCGCAACGAATTGGCACGTTCTGTTTACGTGACAACCCTTACTAATTGGCTGTGTTGGGTGGTGGAGGGTTTAAAGACACATTTATATGTAAGTGATCTAACCCAAAAAAATGTACTATGGATTTCATTCAAAGGCGTTTAAAAAAATCGAACTCATAACAAAGCAGGGCTCATAACCATGGAAACACCCAAAACCTAAATATATTGTCAACGTGTGATTATGAGTGCCATCAAGCATAATATATGTGTATTATATACCAGGAATGAGAAACATCAAGAATTAAGAGCCAGAGTTAAATTTCTGCTTGCGGTCAAAATCAGTGATGAATATCTGAACTGGTCCTGGGCCTCTCTTAAGGGGACTCACTCATAATTGAGTACCTGGTACAGTGTGTAAACATCAGCATTGGACGTGGTGCTGGCCGCCTACCCCCTCGTGTGCTGTGCTCACCTTAATAGCTGCTCTCTAACAGCCCCCCCCCCCCCCCGAAGAGTCTATTCAGACTGTGCGGGAGATCTTGTCAGTCCACATCTGAGTACCTGTATTATCCGGGTTTGCTGGCTGTTCAAGGATGCTGATGGCTGCTTGAAGGATGAGTTCTATGAGCTCCATAGGTGGCTGGAGTTCAGCGTAGCTTGAAGTCAATTCCTTGCTCACATTCGCCAACCTGTGCGTAATAAATTCGACAACGAGTCAACAACAGCTGTTTCACACATAGGTGAATTTGCAGTGGGTGTTGCATGAGTGTCTGTAAAATAACGTCCTTGTAAACAGATCTGTTAGAGGACCTGGATTTTGTTCCGAATTTTAAGAAGATTACTGTCTGGGGTGGAATTAAAATTAGAGCTAGAGTGAATTTGAGGTTACGGTTAGTGTAAAGGTTGTTTACATTTGTATTAATGTAATTGTCGGTATAGCATTAGTCGTTGTGTGCAGTATTAACTTTCTGGTTAGGAGCCGTCCATAAATGACGTCACACGATTTTGGACGATTTTGGACCCCCCCCTCCCTTCGTCACACGGCGTCACAAAGAGTCAGACCCCCCCCCCCCCTCAAATATGACGTCACAAAGCTCTGCCCCCCCCCCTCCAATAAATAAAACATGCTTCAAATGGATTTAAACTATTGTCATTGTAGTGCGTATTTAATGTGGCGCTGAACTCTGATGTTGTAGGAGAAAACATTTATTAAAAAGTCTATTTAATTAAGTAGAACGTGTTGTCTATATTTATTTAAAGTTGCACATTTTGATGTGACGTCACATTTCTCAAACCCCCCCCCGTCACACATCGTCACAAATGTCCAACCCCCCCCACCCACTAGGTGCATGACGTCATTTATGGACGGCCCCTTATAAAAGTTGCATTGTGTTCATCCTGAACTGCAGAAATCATAACAATTGACGATATGCATCTGCCCCAGCATTCTTGTGGGTACAAGAATGCATTTAATTCAAATACTTTGGTTAGATCGTGAAATATAAATGTGTTGTTAAACCCAACACCATTTGACGCAGTCGATTACTAAGATTAGTCACCTAAATAAAACATGCCAATTAGTGACTAGTTCGGCACACCAGTGTGTGTTGGAGAGTAACTCCACAACATTTACAAATCGAGCGCCGTGACGCTTCACCGGTAAGTGCAACCAGCATCATCAGGCGAAAGCCAAAATTGTGGAGAAATCCTCCTCCTGTTTCGGTCTGAAGTAGAGGCGGGGATGAATGTGATGCCATCACTTGTGAGCCAATCAGGTGCGAAGACTGGGGGGGGGTGAGGGGGGGGGTTAATGTAGTATTATGCATGGGGGATCATATTGACACCCCGACCTAAGCTTGTGTTAGCTGCAACCCCTCGATTGTCTCTTCCTGGAGAACGAGCGGCGCTAATAAAGAGTTGTGCGAGGTTCGGGCCCTACCAAGAGAACCTGGTGACCTCCGGGACTGAGTGGGGGTCCGTCGGTGATGGGTCCGGGGTGAAATAGCACGGCTCCAAAATAATAACTATTCGTATTTTTGGGTAGCATCTATGAGTGCATGGAGCATTCACGCCGGCCACTTTAAAGGTTACGATCAGCGGTGGAATGTTAATGTTACGTTCTGAGACGCAAAAAGTGGCATGGCATTTAGCACAATATTTGTTTTAATTGACGTGGGTAACCAAAGGATTTAACAAAAACGTCTAATTGATTTAATTTTGAGAATGCTTGCAGCGTGATGGATTGATATTTGCATTCCAGGTACTTGTTTTTTTTATTTATATAGTTCACGAATTTCATTATGCAGTTGTCGTCCAAAATAAACCCATGAAAAATGTAGCACGATATGTGGCACACCTTTGTGGCATTTGGGGCAAAAGGGAGTACGCAGCATCACACACGGTGTAGACCAATTATGTAACGCATTTCATTTGAACTGATTGACCCAGGAGAAGTTTGTTCCTGTCACTTACTATAAAATGAACTAGCCTCATCCCGAAACATCTACAGTGTGCACTGTATATGGTAAGCTGCCGCTACGTCTCGATGCTGCCCCCCATTGTCAACGTCAAACCGAGCCGAACAGCTCGGCACGATGCTCTTGCAACGTGAGTTGAGAAACACTCCTCGGTGGCTTTGTGGGGGAAATAAATAATGAATCGCTGCGTAAATACCAAGCCCAAGCAAAAAGTCAGGGTAACTGTAGGTCAGATACAGAGGTGTACTGCAAAACAACAAGAAGCGCAAATTGTTGGCCTCAAAGCTGTGCTTGCATGAGAAAAAGAGAATACTTATTAATGATCATCTGCTATGTTCCGGTTATTCACGTCACAGTTGGCAGGGAGAGGCATTTCTACTGTAGAGTACAATGAACTTTACCGCAGCCTGGGTGAGGTTACATTCGATCTTTTTGAGTACTGCTTAAGAATTACGCAAGGGTAGTGATATTTCATCCTCGTGACGAGGCTCGTTTTAATACCGCACCTCTCACGAGTGTAAGCGAGTCACGAACGCGGGTGAGAGGCTTTGTGACTTTACTGGGACCTCCATACAAAAAATATCCCAGTCCAAGAAGAAAAAAAGTCAACCTCAAAATAGCCAGGAGTTATGAAGAACATTTTTTTCGTTCAGAATGTTGTATTATTATTGCATTTACTGCATTGGCATTTCATGTATACATTGCTGTACATGTATTTGAACTCTAAAACATACTTGTAAAATGACTTCTGAAAGCTAGTCTGTGTGAGAAATACAACGCATTATTTAGTGTTTTAAAGGAGTCACGGGAAAGCATTAGGGACTCTAAATAAGAGGCGAGTTGCAATGGTTTCACAAGAACAATTTCCATGCAACCACTTTGAATTCATGTAGCCAACATCTCAAGCAGCCTTGCATGTTAACACGGCATATCCCCTCTTTACATCTGGACAGCGGTTTTAAAACACTTCCCATGTCCTTTGACATCGTCATCATCATCACCATCGGGGTACACCACCTCGGGTGTGCTCAAGAGTGGTACAAAGTCACCATTGCTAGTCATAATTTCAGCTTCTGTGTTCTTTATAGCTATTCTATCTTGGAACGGGATTATGTTGCTACTGATTTGGCACATCTGGGAAACATTTTGACAGCCATACAGTGAGGGAAAAAAGTATTTGATCCCCTGCTGATTTTTTTACGTTTGCCCACTGATAAAGAAATTATCAGTCTATAATTTTAATGGTAGGTTTATTTGAACAGTGAGAGACAGAATAACAACAAGAAAATCCAGAAAAACGCATGTCAAAATGTTATAAATTGATTTGCATTTTAATGAGGGAAATAAGTATTTGACCCCCTCTCAATCAGAAAGATTTCTGTGTGCTCCTAATCTCAGCTCGTTACCTGTATAAAAGACACCTGTCCACAGAAGCAATCAATCAGATCCCAAACTCTCCACCATGGCCAAGACCAAAGAGCTCCCCAAGGATGTCAGGGACAAGGTTGTAGACCTACACAAGGCTGGAATGGGCTACAAGACCATTGCCAAGCAGCTTGGTGAGAAGGTGACAACAGTTGGTGCGATTATTCGCAAATGGAAGAAACACAAAAGAACTGTTAATCTCCCTCGGCCTGGGGCTCCATGCAAGCTCTCACCTCGTGGAGCTGCTCAAGAAAGCACATATGCATGCCCGTCTGAAGTTTGCAAATGAACATCTGAATGATTCAGAGGACAACTGGGTGAAAGTGTTGTGGTCAGCTGAGACCAAAATGGAGCTCTTTGGCATCAACTCAACTCGCCATGTATAGATGAGAAGGAATGCTGCCTATGATCCCAAGAACACTATCCCCACCGTCAAACATCATGCGGATATAGAACACGGCTAAGGGGACAGGACAACTTCACCGCATCAAAGGGACGATGGACGGGGCCATGTACCGTCAAATCTTGGGTGAAAACCTCCTTCCCTCAGCCAGGGCATTGAAAATGGGTTGTGGATGGGTATTCCAGCATGACAATGACCCAAAACACACGGCCAAGGCAACAAAGGAGTGGCTCAAGAAGAAGCACATTAAGGTCCTGGAGTGGCCTAGCCAGTCTCCAGACCTTAATCCCATAGAAAATCTGTGGAGGGAGCTGAAGGTTCGAGTTGCCAAACGTCAGCCTCGAAACCTTAATGACTTGGAGAAGATCTGCAAAGAGGAGTGGGACAAAATCCCTCCTGAGATGTGTGCAAACCTGGTGGCCAACTACAAGAAAGTCTGGCCTCTGTGATTGCCAACAAGGGTTTTGCCACCAAGTACTAAGTCATGTTTTGCAGAGGGGGCAAATACTTATTTCCCTCATTAAAATGCAAATCAATTTATAACATTTTTGACATGCGTTTTTCTGGATTTTGTTGTTGTTATTCTGTCTCTCACTGTTCAAATAAACCTACCATTAAAATTATAGACTGATCATTTCTTTGTCAGTGGGCAAACGTACAAAATCAGCAGGGGATCAAATACTTTGTTCCCTCACTGTATGTCAAAAATAAGATTGATGGTGGGTGTATAATATAGCAATCATGAGACTGTATAGCAGTGTAATTATGCCGTAGGAATGGCCTCAGCTAGTCTCATGTGATAACTTGAAACCTTACATTTTATACTCATATAAAAGTAAAAAGCTCAACCGTATCACCGACTCGTGACATTGCTCATTGCGTTGTGGTTCGTGTTTGACGTTAACCTGGAGTGGAGCGGTGGCGCAACCACTCCCGCACTGCACTCTGCACCTGGCCACTTGAGATCCATCTCTGGCCATGGGTAACATCCGTGGGGAGTGAAAACTCAAATGATCTGAGCTCCTCCACCCCAATTCCAACTTTTACTGACCGGCATGGTGAAGTATGCTCAAACGACCCCCATTAATCCCATGCCATGGATATGTCTTCATACAGCAACAGTTTTGCAAAAGGCTTTTTATATTATTATTATATTACGAGTTATTAGCACAGGTGTGTTGGAAGTCAATGGGAGTCATTTTGTGTAAAGAGTGACACACCAATGAAATGTTCAATGTCCACCATTGGCTCTGGTAACCAACAAAGATGAGCAAACGCCCCATTCTCGTTTGAGAGAGTTGGCCGAATTGAGTTTTGAAGAGCCGATGGGAAAAAAACGAAGCATTGCTTGTTTGATGAACATAGTATTTGTTGTATTGCAAGA